GTCTTCCAATCCCCATCCGCCCGTTCCGACAGCACGTGTCTGGACTCCCCAACGGGTCCAAGTGGCGGGTACTTGATGTTCCACCCACAGCACCGATACCGCTAACTGCGCTCGGTCTTTAGAACCCCTCCCACTAGCGGAAAATACACATATTTGCGGCGACCTTGTTGACGGACTGGGGTCCCACCAATAGTGGACGATAACTATTTTTCCGCGGCGCTTGCCACACAATACTGACGACGTCGACGACTACGACTACGATTACGACTGCAATTGCGACTGCGACCACGTTTGCGACTACACTCGCGACTCCACTCACGATTACATCCACGACCACAAATATGACTTCAACCACAGCCAACGATTCCAATTGCAAACCTCGTGAAAAGATGGTCACACATCCTCTCGCCTGTAGGGAAGCACACAATGGATGATCCCTGGGAGGACAGAAAAACAGCATGACACAGCCCGCCCAACAATGAAGGGGAAATGCTCTCTGCCGCCGCAACGACGACGACGACGACGACGACGACGACGACGACTAACGACCACGAGAAGAGCAGAGGGAGGACGAGGAGGAGCAGGAGGAGGAGGAGGGGGGAGGAGTAGGAAGAGGAGGACCAGTACAAACCTAAGACTCATCAGCGATGTTGGAATACATCCCTCCAACTAAGCTCCTTCTTCATATGTCCCGACAAAAACTCATTCCCACTGAAGGAAAAGCCGCGATGGGAGACCTCCGTTTGAAGATTCAGAAGCGTGCCAACAAACAATTACTCCGACGGTAGGACCCAACATGCCTCAACCCCTGCATCCAAATCCTATTGCCTCCTCCTCCTCCTTTCTCCTGTCCCTCTCCCTCCTCCTCCTCCTCCTCCTGCTCCTCCCCTTCCTCCTCCTCGTGTTCCTCCTCCTCCTCCTCCTCCTGCTCCTCCTCCTTCTCCCCCTCCTCCCCTCTCACTCCTCCTCCTCCTTCTCTCCCTCTCCGTCCTCCTCCTCCTCCTCCTCCTCCTCCTCCTCCTGCCTCCTCCTTTGGCCTCCTGCCTCCTCATGGGGCTTCCTGGGGCCTCTTTGGGCCTCCTGGAGCCTTCTTGGCCTCCCGGGACCTCCTGGGGCCTCCTAGGCCATTCGTCCTCCTCCTCCTCCTCCTCCTCCTCCTCCTGCTCATCGTCCTGTTCCCCCTTTGCCTCTTCCTCCTATTCCTCCTTTTCTTTGTCGTCCTGCCTCATCCTCCTCCTCTGCCTCCTCCTCCTCCTCTTCCTCCTCCTCCTCCCCGTCCTCCTCGTGCGGAGCACGACCTGAGAAAACGCACGACGTGCGTCCCAACGGCTACGCGCCGGAGGACGACCTCAAGGAAGCGCGCGCCAGAGGACGACCCGAAAAAAGCACGTGAGGCGCGGGTTCCATAGGGAGGGGGCTCCAGCCTGAGACGTCCTCGCAATTCACTCTCAAACGAGGCTCCCGCCTGACACTTCATCCACATTCAAGCCTCAGGAGCCCAAGAGTGACGACAGGTACAGGAGGCCGATGACTGGCCTCGGATTCGAACGTGAGATGCGGGCCCCATAGGGAGGGGCTCCCGCCTGAAACTTCTTCGCAAGTCACTCATGAACGAGGCTCCCGCCTGATACCACCTTCATATTCAGGCCTCAGGAACCGAAAATTGACGACAATTACAAGAGGCCGATGACCAGCTCAGATTACTCACGTGACCTGCTGGCATCATAGGAACGATTTCCCGCCTGAGACTTCCTCGCAATTCACTCACAGACGAAGCTCCCGTTTGTTACTTCCTCCATCTTCAAGCCTCCAAGGCAGCAAAATGACGACTGTTACCAGGCGCCGATGACCCGCTCGGATTACTCATATGAGCTGCGGACCCGATAGGCACTGGGCTCCCGCCTGACATTTCTCTATATAGAAGCCTCGGTGGCCCAAAAGTGACGGCACTTCCAGGAAGCCGATGACGCGCTCGGATTACTCATATGAGCTGCGGGCCCCATTTGGAAAAGGGGCTCCCGTTTGAGACGTCCTCGCAATGCACTCACAGACGAGACTCCCGCTTGATGCGTCCACAAAATGCGTGTGTGCGCGCGTGAGTGATAGTGCTGGTGTGAATGACGATGACGATGTGAGTGATAATGATGCGCGTGCTGTGATTAGCGATGATGGTGATGATGACGATGTGAACGGTAATGATGATGAAGGTGGTGGTGATGATGGTGAGAATGATTGAGTGAATGATGTTGAGAATGATGTGATAAATGATGATGAAAACGTTGACGGTGTTATGATGGTGAAGGTGTGTGACTCATTGAGTGAGTGTGCAAAGGGAGAGAAGCCCCTGAGGCCTGTATCGGCTCATTGGGTGGGCGGGTGAAAACGATGATGGTGATGCTGGCGATGATGTGTGTGCGTGAGTGGGTGGCGGGTGGTGGGTGAGTGCGTGGGTAAAGGTATGATGATGCTGAGTGAATGTGGGTGTGTGAGCGAGTGAATGGGTGTGTAAGTGATGATGAGGTGGTGATGATAGAGATGTGAATGCGTGCGTGTGTGCATGAATAAACGTGTAAGAGGTGGGTAAGTGGGAAAGAAGGGAAGGGGGTGCTGCTGTTCGTGTTCCTGCGCGGGGTGTAAAAAGAAAACAAGAACCCCATTGTGGATGTGGGGAATTTTCGGGACTTCAACGGCACGGACCGGCCTGACTGCTGCATTCTGGCGATCCTGAATCGAGCACAACACCAACCCTGAGACTTCAACACCGCGAATCAGCGTAACTGATGCGCCCTGACAGTCCTGAGTCGGACCACAACATGTTCTCCGGTGCTCTAGCCATGGAACCCAGGGAACTCTTACAAATGGTTAAAACTAGTGTACGCGGCGCTATGGCGAGAACCACATTTTGAAAAGAAGCCGCCCTTAACCCGCAAAGCTCCAACACATGTTTAAGATGAGCGCGCTCGGCGCAAAAGCGTCGAGCCGCGAAGCTCAAGCCTCCAACCCTCCCTCAAGCCGCGGAGCTCTCACAGTCTTTGTATGACAAATGCGCACGGCGCTACAGCGAGAGCCTCATTTTGAAAACGACTCGTTTTCAATCCGTGAGGCCCGTGGACGTGGAATCGCGCGGCGCTAAGACGAGAACAATTTTTTGGAAGCGGCCCGTCCTCCACCTGTGGAACTGCTGTCAGCTTTGAAATTTCGGGGTACAGATTGTAAGGACGTCTCACGCGAAACGCCCCTTCCGCCCTTTCGACCAGCTTCGGGGTGCGACAGGGATGATTCATATATATATATATATAAAGAATAAGACTGACTGACTGACTGAAGCTCGCGGAAGCCAAATAGCTCGCCGACCAAAAACTTCAGCACTCTTATCGGAGATAGGTGCTGCTGGGACTGACAAAGCAAAGGGTTCTGAAAAGGCATCTACATCGCCCACAGACTGCAAGACTACGCACGACATGCCGGCATCCGCACAAGGCGGCGCAGGCACTGGCGGGGACCCCTGTGCTGGCACGCAACCAGCCTGCGCGGGGGCCCGCTCCTAAGCACGAGGAATTCTCCAGGCCACGGAATTAAACATTTACCTACTGTCCGTTGCCGCTTGGACGTCTCCCACGACCGCCCCTCCCCCCCCCCGCCCACGACCTCGGCTAAGAGCAAAAACTAACGGGTTGTCTGTCAAGCCCGCGCTCGCTAGTTGCAGCCCTGAACCACCCATCGAAAACTCGGTAACTAAACCGCGCCTCTTAAGCTTTCGGAAACGCTCGCTGCTGGCGGAAGCCTTCGGAATCGACAGAAACTTCGGGAGGGCTCTGGGGGCCACTGCGGCCAGCTGGCCAGCTCACCACATCAGGACTCACATGCCCATGGAGGTCAGGAGCTGGGAGGTCTTGCGCTCCAGCGGCCCGCGAAGGGCCGCTCCCGCCAGCCACGTCCCGCCCTCGCAGGCGATCAACTCCTCCATCAGCGGCATCAAGATCGATCCGATGTCCGTGCTGGTGTCTATGTTGAACAAGATGGTACAATTCTGGGGCACGCCCTTCTGTTCCGGCTTCTTGTGTAAGTTGGCCCTGGAATGCAGGATCGCCCTCGTCAGCTCTGGTACAATGGCCTTCATGAACATGTTCTGGTTGAAGTCGCGGAGGTTCTTGGCTAGGTTGTCCTCGTCCATCTGGCTGGCCCCCCTCTGCGTGGGCACGCTGGGCTCCGCAGCAGACCGCCGCCGTCGCCACGTGGAGGCGCGGGGGCCCACGCTCGCGCCAGTTGACGGGGTTGCCCTTGTCTGCCTCGGCTTTCATGTCCTTGCTCTGCACGTCGTAGACCTGCCCCGCCTTGATGCATGCGGTTGGCAGTCCGCGATCCACGGCGACGTCGAAACGGTTGAACACGTCCGCTGCCAAGTCTGCGCTCTCGCGTGCGGTCACGAGGGTGCGGCGGCTGATCGCCGTGAGCAACTCCCCGTTGTTGTCGTTCTGTTTGGCGCCCATGCGGGAGTGTTTTTCGTCCTTGTGGCCCTCGGCCTGCTCAAGCTCGCCTAGGGCAGTAGGTAGGTGGGTGCACAGGTGCGCGCGAAGCTCCAAAAGAGTGGAGCCCTGAAAGGTACAACAGACACAGGAGAGAGGAGGGCTGGACCAGTGGTTGTAATGAATATAGCCCCGTCGTTTCACAGTGCCCCCGTCGTTGTGAACCCTGGAGGTGTAGGGCAGCATTCGACATGCAGGCAAACGTTTCGCCACAATTTATACATATGTGTGTGGGGGGGTAATGAATCAGCAGAGGTTCCTGATAGAGTACGTCCGACGCAGATGGTTCATCATATTCCGACGCGTAGAGGAGGCAGCACCACATGTCCTTTCCGATCTGCCACCAGACAGCCAGCATCTGAACGGCATGCCTTCCCCCTCCGATGCAGGGGCGGCCGTTGTCTGTGCTGGCGGTGCCCTCCCTGGCGGTCCGATCCGGACCGACCAATAGTGAACACGCATCTCCATAAAATCCGTGCTCTGCAATTCCTCGGCATGCCCCGTAGTCCCAAGAGGAGTCAGATCCGAAGCTGCCGCGGACAGTATGTCGTATCGTAGCAACGCAGCAGCCCAGAGGACATCGCTGTGTAACTGCTGTGCCCAGGAAGACGCCAACGCCGAGGGGCGCTCGTCGTCCACAGGAGGGCGAGTCGCATCGAAATTAGCGTGGCCAAATAAACTGCACAATGCCTGGCTATATATCGCGGGGTCCTGGGGCCGTTTTTGATACATCCGTAGTCGTCGCATACGTAACTCCCACGCGCTCCCCCAAATTATCCAGTGTTTCCAAACGGCCTGGTTATAAAGACACGTGGGGTGGACCCGTTCCCAATTAGTGGCAGTCCCCATCATGGCAATCCTACCGGAGGCACTCACTGTTTGGTCCAACCGTTTGTAGTCACCCGGTGCAAGAGCAAACGATTCAAGTCCACTCAGTAAAGCTCCCCGTCTGAATCCGATTAGCAATGTTCTCGTCCACCTGAAGGGGGAGTTGATGCTCCACACCGCACCAACACTATGGAAGGACGTCCGTGCAGCGCGGGTCCGTAGCGTGATTTCCTTGCGAGCCGATGGCGACATCGCCACATGAGATCCAAGATGCCGCAAAGCGTCCCGTGGTTTCCCCTCAATGGCCCCCTGTCCTTCCCTGAGGCGCCTTCGAAAATACTGGCTGTTGTTCCCAAAGAAGAACAGCTACTCCAGCTTCCCCTTATTCTGGGCGTAGCCGCAATCCGAAAGACGGGCATCCAAGAGACGATCGTGGGCCTCAAGTTCCACAAGGAACTCCACCATGGTAGTACTCTTGTCAGCTAGGCAAATTTTGTTCAAGTCAACCGCGTATCTCATGAGGCTCAGGTCACACCGAAGAGGTCCCCAGGTAGCTATCATATCTGTAGCACCCCGATCAGCCCCAAGAAGGTCCCATCCCCAGATACGAATAGGTACCTGGAATAACTCGAGAAACGCCGATACTGCATACGGGTCCCCCATGAAGTCCCCCTGCAATGGTTTGAAAGCGAGCTCCTCTCCCAGTCGGTCGTACAGGCGCACAACTGCATGAGGGTAACGTTGCTTGCGCAAGCTCCGATCCTCTGGTTGTGTAATGAGATCGAGGTGGGAGTCCAATGTATCCCAGGAAGTACTAGCAAAGGCGTTCGACTGATCTCTAAAGCACATGGCGTGGGTGGGCCCTGCAGCGCGCAATCGCCAAGAGGAGTCATTAGACGAGGAGGAGGAGGAATAGGGGCGAGTTGATTCCCCGCCAAGTGAAACAGGGGAGGTGGAGGGGCGTCAACACTGAAGACCTCCCTCGGTTACTCCCCGGACCTCTCCTAGGGTGCACTCTAGCACTAATCCCGAGGCGAGTCCAGCGGTGGCGACCAGGCCCTTCCAGAAGGCCCAAGAAGGCGACCACGAGGCGAGGGTAGCAGAACCCAGACACCCGACGTCATGCTTGCTTCGTAACGTGGGCCCCCCAGAGGTAGCTCTTCATCCCGAGTCGTGTTTTGGCGCTCCTAGGGCCCGGCGAGGGCCCTGGGAGACCCCAAATCGCCAAAACCGCCAGCGGTGTCATTTGGCGGGGCGCGCACAAATGGGTAGGGGGGAACACTTCTCAGAAGGAGGCTGCTCCTTCATGGGCGCCGGCCTCACATCTACAGAGAAGGCCCGCGCCTTCTACGGAGCACCCCTTGCTTCGAAGAAGCCGACCCCCCCCCCCCCCTCCACCTATACCCCCTCTGCGCGTGGCTGACTCATGACCCGAAGGGGCCTGCGTATCTCGGGTCGGGCGAAAGGGGGGGATAGCAAAGGGGGGGTTTGAGAATCAGCTCACGTAGCTGATTTCCCCGGCGCCTCCCGGCGCTGGAGGCGGCCATGTATCGAGGAATGGGCCCCTCGGTGAGGCCGAAACCAGCTGCATGCAGCAAATTTCGTAACCCCCCCTTTCCCAATCCCCCCCTTTCGTCCGGCCCAACTATACCCCCCTCTGCGCGTGGCTGACTCATGACCCGAAGGGGCCTGCGTATCCACACCTCCTTTCGGCTTCTCCTCCGAGCACCCCGCCGGCCCGGCCGCACGGTGCCCCGCACTCGTCCCGGCGGCGCCGCTGGGCGCATGGCGCGCGCCACGCGGCCGCGGCCGCGCAAGTAGCCACTCTCGGGGCGCGCGCCGCGGGGCGACCACCGCGGCGGGCCTCGAGCGGAGAGGGGGGGCGGCGGCCCGCGCCCCCGAGCCTTGGGCCAAAATGGCTGCGCGGAGGACGCGGAGGACCCGGGCCCCTTCCTTCTCCCTCCTCTTCCCTCCTCCTCGTGGGTCCCCTCTTTCGGTACAGGCCCCAGGGTTCTCTCACCAGAGTTCTCTAGAGTTGAGCACGTCTTCGCGACACTGCCATCGTCCGCCGCCGCCACCTCCTTCTCGTCCTGCGCCCTCTGCCCGAGATAACCGGAGATAACCTCGTCTGGCGGGTCTGGGGGCTGCATCGGGCGCCGTGGCAGTTCAACAGCGCTCTGCCCAGACCCCCTCACGTCAAGAGCAAATCATGACGTTGGGGATCTGGGCCCTGAGGCCCCACACGTATCGGGAGGAGGGGGAGGAGGAAGGGAAGGGAGGAGGAAGAGGATGAGGAGGAGGAGAAGCAGGAAGAGGAGGAAGAGGAGGAAGAGGAGGAGAAGAGAGGAGATGTGCCGATCCAAGAACTCCGCGCGGACCTCCGAGGGAGTACTCGAGCTTGTGCTGATGGCTTCTCTCTCTCTCTCTCTCTCTCGCTCGTTGCAGGGGAGCAGGCGGGGAGGGGGGGACGCAGGCCGATGACGACCCGAGCGCCCGCTGCTGCAGGCGACACGCCCGCAAGAGGTTGAGAAGGAGGGAGCAGAAAGGGGGGGATATATAGAGAGAGGACACATAATACGTACACGCACGTCATGTTATATATGTATATATATGTATATATATATGCAGACATGTTCTATATGAGGCACACGCATATATGTTAGCCAGCGCGGCCCCCAAACAGTAAGCTCTTGCGCTGTAGATGTGTAAAATATGAGGTGCAGCCATGCGCTGCAGGCTGCGTGGTGCAAGCTAGGCGGCGCAAGCTAAGTGTTGTAGCTATCTGGTGCAGGCTGCGTGGTGTAATGTACGGGGTGCGAGCTATGCGGTGCAAGGTATGTGGCGTAAGCTATGTGGTGCAATCTAGATTGTGCAAGCTATGCTGTGCAATCTATGCGGCGCAAGCAACGTAGTCCAATATGCGTGGTGCAGTCTGCGAGGCGCAAGCCATGTGGTGCAGGCTGTGTGGCGCAATATACGCGGTGAAGGTTATGCGGTGCAATCCACGTGTCGCAGACTATGTGGTTCAAGCTGTGTGATACAAGACCTACGTACATGTATACACAGAGACACATATATACATATGTATATGTGAACAGGTAAAATTAGTATCCCATACACACATACATATATGAACACTCAAGTGTTCGTGCATATATATATATATATGTCTATACATGTATACATATGTGTGTGGTGCCTGCGCGTGAAGATGTCCGTGCGCCATGAGGGTAGCCCGAGGAACGACACGTCGCCGTGGGAGGAACGGGGGGGAGCCGTGCTCACGGTCGTGAGTTGCGGAGGGGGGTGGGGCGGGAGAGGGGAGAGGACCTGGGGGGGAAAGGACCTGGGAAAGGTCGGGGAGGGGGACGGGGCACAGAGATGCGGAGGGGACATGGGGTGGGGAGGGGGGGGCAAATGGGAGGGTGGGAAACCGGGGAGGGAGGGGAGCAGGGAAGGAAGAGGAGGGAAGAGGAGGGAGGAGGAGGAAGAGGAGAAGGAGGTGGGGGAGGAATGAAGGTGAGAAGGAGGAGGGGAGGAGGAAGGGGAGCAGAGGGATGAGAGGAGGACGAAGAAAATGGGAATTGACGGAGGAGGGACGGAACAGGGGGGGAGGGGAGAGATCATGAAGAAAACGGGTGAAGAAGGAGGGGGCGGAGGGACTAGAACGAGGACGAAGGTCGAGAAGGGAACAGCGCCCACTACACGGCCTGTCTCCGCGAAGAGGCGGCCGTCCGAAACTGGAGATGAGCCCACCGAGGAGTGTGAAGCACAGCCGCCGACAGCTGCGCCTGCCTACAAACAGCCTGTGCATGCTCCAACATACTAATTACACGCAGAAAGAGGAGTGAGGAGAAGAGAAGGGAGGGGGGGGAGCAGAGGAGGGGCGAGGGGAGGCGGCGAAAGAAGCAGGACTGGGTGATGGACCCGCCTGCACCAGGTAACATCGCGCGGCACAGTCGCAAGATGACATCTGTGGGCTTCAGGATTGGACTTGCAGCCGAGCATCAGACTGCAGAGGCTAATTATCCGCCGCTGTGCCGTGGGCACTAGTCCCAGACCCCTGACGCCATGGTTTTCCATGGCGTGGACCTCCCGAGGTCTCGACGCATTCCCCAGGACCGGCGTTTCGTTCTGAGTCCATGTGTGAACGGTCCCCAGTCACGGCGAAGTCCCCCAAAGGCAGAAAATAGCTAAAAGCCTCCCACCGTGATTTTTTCGCGACCCGCGGGGGCATGGCGTGGAAAACGTCCTCAGGTCCTTCGTGGCCCCGCGAAGCCCCTGATCCCGATTGCCCAGATTCTCAGGCGCTCCCCGGCTCCCCCAAGACGCGTCACAGGCCTCTTGCCGAGGCCTCGGGTCCAACATTTGCCCTAAGATGGTTCCACGGGCCAGGGCCGTCTTGCCGTCCCCCACCAGGATGCCCACCTCGGCAATATTGTATCATTCTCGCATTCTCGGTCTTAAGAGTGTCCAGCCAAGGCGGCCAATGCGGTCCCCAAGATCTCCCAAAGATAGCCCAAGGTCCCAAAAGCCGCAAGAGAGAACCCAAAGTAGGAGCTCGAAGGGGCGCCAGGACCCCTCAACTCCAAGATGACCCCGAAACTTCCCCAAGAGGCCGCAAGGTCCCACGAGGCTCCCAAGAGGCTCCCAAGAGGCTCCCAAGGCGCCCCCAAGAGGCCGCAAAGTGGCTCCAAAGAGGCACCCCAAGAGACCTCTGCTGGCCTCCAAGAGGCTCGTGCTCCACGACTCGGGCGCAATGGCAGGATGAGCTGAAGGTCACTAGGTCCATCCGCCGCACCCCGGCCAGAGGGCGGTTTGGTCCCGGTGGTCTTCGTCCAGTATTACTGGCTGCGTGGAACTGCCAGAAAAGACTAGACTGCTTGAATTTTTGTTCGCCCAAGATGGCTCCAAGAGGGTCTTCAAGACAGACCTGGTCAACATCAAATCGGCCCAGGATGGCCCAAGTGACCTTCAAGGCGGCCCAAGATGCCTCCAAGCGGGCCGCAGACGACCCAAAGCAGCCACAAGATGATCCCAAAACGGCTCAAGAGGCCTCGCAGACGACCCAGGAAGGCTCAAAGAGGTCCCCCACAGGAGGGCTCCAAAACAAGTCTTTTCGCTTTGGTTTTCCACGACTTTCAAATTTTCTCTCCTTCTCGATCTTCATTTCTCTCAATCTCGATCTTCAGAGCGTCCAAGACGGCCCAGGAGGCCTCCGAGATTTCCCCAAGACGGCCCAGAAAGCAACCCTAAGAGGGCCCGACGAGCCCCAAGACGACCCTACAAGACCCCAAGAGAGCACCAACACGGCCCAGAGCATCCCCAATACAGCATGCGAAGGCGTCAGACGTCCCACGAGCGCCCTGAGACGGCTCATAAGACGGGCCAAGAGGTCCCTAGGAGGCCCCCAAAGAAGGTCGGACAACCGCCCAAAATCAGCCCCAAGACGGCCCCAGAGGACCCTTCCCAGGTGTCCCCCCAGTGGTTTCCCCGACGACTGGGGCAACACGCAGTCCACTAGAGCCAAGGAACGAAAGGGGTCCTTCTGGCCACAGCAAGCCTCGGCCACGCATAGGTTCCCTGACCCAGATCCTAGCAAGGGCCCGGAAAATGCAACCACTCGGAGGAAACCAACAACCAACAAGTACCGATACCGCTAGTCGGCGGACGTCTCCCAGGGTGCGCTCTGACCAGGATTTCGAGGCGAATCCAGCGGTGGCGTCGAGGGCCGCCCAGGAGGGCCAGAAAGGGGAAAACGAGGGAAGGGCAGCGGATGGGTACCTGTCTCTCCTCCGAAATGAATCCTTCTTTCAGCGTCCTGACTCCAACGTGCCTGGACTCCCGGCCGACACTCCACCGCACAAGCGTCTCCGACAAGCAGGGGGGCGGCGCTGACCCGCCGGAGGCATCTGCGATGGGTTGTCATTTGGCCTTCGCCCAGGCGGCCCACGCGGCGCCCGCAGGAGTGATGCTGGGCGGCGGCACGGCGCTCCCGTACCTGCGCCGCGAGAATGTCTACTCCCGCCTTCGTACAGCGGAGTCCCGCCCACAGGAAGCCTCTTCCACAGGAGACCCGACCCTGAGACCCCAGGACGCCCATGGATTCTCGGTGTGGGCACGCCCCGCTCCCCACGGCAGGGCCACCGAGACCCAGGCAACCCAGGGCACCCTGGAGTCCAGCCACGTTTCTGCCTTGGCATGGGCCTCCACTGCACCCAAAGCGAGAGGGGGGCCACAGCACCCCCATTTGGACGCCCGACGTGGGCACGTAAAGAATGGGTACAATGCCCCAACAACAAGTGCTGTCCCAAACCAACGGCGGCCGCTGTTGGGCAGGCGGCCTCCTGCCTCGAATGGACACAGGCCGCGGCGGCGTGGACAGCGAGCCCTGTTCAAGATGAGCAGGTAAAACAGGCTAGGATCGGCGCCCGATACATCCTCCAAACTCGCCGATTCTCAGAGATTTCGAGTTATCCCGATCCGATTTTGTCCCGATCTTCGCGTCGTTCTAACAGAATCCGCTGTTGGGCACTGTACCCGTTCTTTCCGTGCCCATCTCGCGCGTGCACATCCCCTGCGAGCAGCTCCGGACAGACCCCCCCCGTAATACAAAGACCGGCCCTGCGACGGCGGCCTTCTGCCCGGGGCCCCCCGCGGAGCCCCACAGAAGCCAGCTCCGCTCCGACCGACCCAAAGAGCCGGAAGAACTCGGGAGCGCACGGGCAGCGGGGGGGGGTCAGATACGACTCCGCCCCAGGAGCCCCCTCCTCCTCCTCCTCCTCCTCCTCATCCTCCTCCTCCTCCTCCTCCGCGCCTTTCATCGCTCGGGACCTCCTCCTCCTCCTCCTCCTCCTCCTCCTCCTCCTGTCCTCCTCCTCCTCCTGTCCTCCTCCTCCTCCCCCTCCTGCTCCTCCTCCCCATCCTCCTCCTCCTCCTCCTCCTCCTCCTCCTGCTCCTCCTCCTCCTCCTCCTGCTCCTCCTGCTCCTCCGGCGGCACCGGCCGTCAGGCCTTCGCAATCAGGAGTGCACGGGCATTCCCCGACGAACCGTGCATGCACCTTTCTGGAGGGCGGCGGTGCAGAGAGCCGCCAGCTCCTGGCGGTGGTTTCTGCACCGCCACCCTCCCCCGAGGCCCAGGAGCAGTTCATCGGAAGTCCATCAGAACTCGCCTGCCTATAATTTCGGCGCCCGAAATGGGCACGAACAACAAATGCGCACGATGCCCACCACAAAAGTTGTCCAAAACCGACAAGCGGCCGCTGGTGGACAAGCAGCCTGCTGTCTAAAGTGGACAACGACCGCGGAGACGCCGACACCGAACCACGGTGGCGACGAGGGCCTCCCAGGAGGGCGAACAGGGGGGAAACGGCCGAAGGGTAGTGGTCTGGGTACTTTTTTCCTCCTCTGAGTTCAGAATGGAGAAGAACTGCTGTTAGTCTTGTGGGCATTTTCTTTCTCGGCGTTTCGACTTTGGGCGGAAGGGGCGGGGAAGGAGGGGGGGGGGGCGAGGGCCTGTTTCTCATCCGGACTCGTTTTTGGACGGTCCCGAGGCCAGGCGAGGGCCCCCCGAGGCCGAAAATGGTCAGAAACCTACCGTCCTAATCTTTTGTCACGACGCGATTATGTCTGGATTTCGATCGCCCCGATCTGATGCAATTCTGCGGCGGAGCACCCGCTGTGAATATGCACGGCGGGGCGAGGCTGCAGCGCCGCTTCCGGGCAAGTGGCCCGCCGCCGCCGGGGAGCCGAGGTGTCCCCGCGGAGCTGCTCCGCGAGCGGGGCGGGGGCGTCCTTCGCGGAAAAAGGCCACAGAGGTTCGAGTAGGCGATCGACTGCAGAACTGATGCTCTTAACAAGTGTGCTTCGTATCAAATACGACTATATCTATGCATATATATATGTGCATATAAACACATGCATAAACTATGTGTCCATACATATATACATCCATATTTACATACATACACACATACATACATACAACCATGCATACATACATACATGCATACATACATACATGCATGCATGCATACATACATACATTACACGCATATATGCATGCATGCATGCACATGTACGTCAATATGTATATATAAATACATATTGACGTATACATAAGCGTATACATTTATTAGATGAATGCATGCATGCATACAGACAAGCATACCCGCATGCATACATACACACTTGCATGCATACGTAAATTCAAACATATAGACATACATGCACATGCAATCACGCATGCCTACATGCATGCATGCGATTGAACATAGAAACGTACATGCATGCATACATGCATTTATGGATGCATACATGAAAACATGCACACTTCTATCTATGCATGCATACGTCCATGCATGCATACCCACATACCTATACGACCACCCTTCGGGTGATAAGGAGGTTCGGGGGGGGGGACCAACGTCTCACTCGATCGGTCTGACTATCGATCTCACTATCGATCTCACTATCGGTCTCGCTCGATCGATGTCACTCGATGGATATCACAATCGATCTCACTCGATCCATTTCTTCCGATCGATTTCACAATCGATCTGATTATCGGTCCCACAATCGATCTCACTATCGATCACACAATCGATCTCACATTTGGTCTCACTATCGATCTCACTATCGATAGCACAATCGATCTCACAATCAACGTCATCAACATCACCATCATCATCATCATCATCATCATCAACATCACCGTCATTAACATCATCATCATGGTCATCATCATCGCGACACCATCATGATCACGTCATCACCATCACCATCAACATCATCATCACCATAATCGTCATCATCATCATCATCATCATCATCGGGACACCATCATCGTCACCACCATCATTATCAACATCATCACCATCGCGACACCATCATGATCATCGGGACACAACCATCATCATCACCATCATTTCACCATCGTCATGACCCACTGCATCAACATCATCATCATCGGGACACCATCATCATCAACATCATCATCAACAGTACCTTCATCATCGGGACACCACCATCATCGTTCGCATCAGCATCACCATCATCATGACACCATCATCATCAACATCAGCATCATCATCACCATCATCGGGCCACGTTCATCAAAATCATCATCATCACCTGATCATCATCCTCATCATCAACATCATCATCACCACCATCGGGACACCATCATCGTCATCATCATCAGCAACATCATCATCATCGGGACGCCATCATCATCATCACCATCATCATCAACCTCATCATCATCATCATCGAGACACCATCATCATCATCATCATCCTCATCACCACCATCTCATAAACATATCATCATCATCAACTCACGCCATCACAGGGCCATCAACATCATCATCATCATCACGGGGACACCATCATCATCAGCAGCAACACCATCAACCTTTACATCATCATGATCGGGACACCATCATCATCACCACCACCATCATCATCATCATCGCCAACATCGTCAACATCATCGCCATCGGGACACCAGCATCATCACCACCGTCACCATCATCATCGTCATCAACAACAGCATCATCATCATCATCATCATCATCATCATCACCGTCATCATCGGGACACCGACGGGACACCGGCGGGACACCGGCGGGTCACCGCGGGCCACCGGACGCCGGAAGGGAGTCATTTGGTCCGGCCGCGCCTCAGCCACAGCGGGACACTGGCGGGACACCGCGGGCCTCCGGACGCCGGACGGGAATCATTTGGTCCGGCCGCGCCTCAGCCACAGGAGACTTATTTCTCGCCCGCCCACGCAGCTTCGCCTCGCCCGCACTGCACGCACGAACACAAAACCGAAATCGATTTCCTGGCAAGGGGGCTCTCCGTTCCACTTCGATCTCACCCCCTCACTTCCGACACGCGTCCATTCATTCATCCATTCGTACATACATATATGCATACGTACGTACGCACATTCAAATATACACGCATCCATGCATACATGCACCCATCCATCCATCCATCCATCCATCCATCCGTACCTATACGACTACCCTTCGGGTGATAAGGACGTTCGGGGGGGGGAGGAACCAACGTCTCACTCGATCGGTTTCACGATCGATCTCGCTATCGATCCCACTATCGGCCTCGCTCGATCGATCTCACTCGATCGATCTCACAATCGATATCACTCGATCTATTTCATTCGATCGATCTCACAATCGAGTTGACGATCGATCTCACGATCGATGTCACTACCGATGTCACTATAGATCTCACACTCAGTCGAACTACCGATCTCACTATCGATATAAAAATCCAAATCAGAAACAACGTCATCATCACCATACTCAACATCATCGTCATCAACGTCATCCACATCATCGGAACACCATCATAATCATCACCTCATGACCATCATCAAAATCATCACCATCACCATCACAATCATCATCATCGGGACACCATCATGGCCACCATCATCATCATCACCAACATCATCATCATCGGGACACCATCATCATCATCGGAACACCACCATCATCATCATCATTTCGTCATCATGATCATGAACACGTTCATCAACATCCTCATCATCAGGACACCATCGTCAACATTAACAACATCATCATCATCAACATCATCATCGCTGGAACACCATCATCATCGGCACCATTATCATCATCACCATCATCACCAACATCATCATCAATATCATCGGGGCACAATCATCAGCATCAAGATATCATCATCATCACGATCATTGGGCCACCATCATCAAAATTATCGTCATCACCTCATCATCATCATCATCCTCATCACCAACATCATCCGCATCGGGACACCATCATCGACATCATCATCATCATGATCATCATCATCATCGGGACACCATCATCACCACAATCATCATCAACTTTGGACGCCCGAAGCGGGTACGGAAAGAATTTGTACTATGCCCAACTGCAAATGTTGTCCAAAACCAACAGCGGCCGCTGTTGGGCAGGCGGCCTTCTGTCTCGAATGGACACAGGCCGCGGCGGCGTGGACAGCGAGCCCTGTTCAAAATGAACCATACATGCTGTTGGGCATTGTACCCACTCTTTCCGTACCCATCTCGTGCGTCCAAATCAACAGCATCATCATCAACCTCATCATCCTCATCATCATCATCGGGGCACCACCATCATCATCTTCATCATCATCATCGAATCATATGATCAGCCTCGTGGTCATCAGTAACATCATGATCATCATCATAATCATCGGGGCTCCATCATCATCAGCAACATCATGATATTCAACATCATCATCGGGGCACCATCATCATCACGACCATCACCATCATCATCGTCAGCATCATCATCAACATCTTAAACATCATCATCATCATCATCATCATCATCATCATCATCATCATCGGGACACCATCGTCGTCACCACCATCACCATCATCACCGTCATCATCGTCAACATCATCAACATCATCATCATCATCATCATCATCATCATCATCATCACCATCATCATCATCATCATCGGGACACCGACGGGACACCGGCGGGACACCGCGCGCCACTGGCCCCCGAGCGGGACACCGGCGGGACACCGCGGGGCATCGGTTGCCGGAAGGGAAACTTTTGGTCCAGCCGCGCCTCAGCTACAGGAGCCTTATCTCTCGCCCGCCCACGCAGCTTCGCTTCGCCCGCACGCACGGCACGCACGAACACGAAACCGAAACAGATTTCCCGGTATGGGGGCTCTCCGTTCCACTTCGATCTCACCCCCTCACCTCCGACATCCACACATGCATGCATGCATACAAACATAAATACATCCAGTGGCCGTCGGAACTACAGCCAAAAAAAAATGCGCGCATCTTGCGTAGAGCGGACACTGGAGCAGCAGTGGTAGGGTGAACTGATTCTGTCGTCGATCCCCGGTTCGGAATATCCACATGCAATTGCCGAGGCCCGCGCGGACTTCTCGGAATCGGCGCTGGGCCCCCTCTCCCACGGGCGCGCGGAGCGCGCAGGGGGCCGCTCGCCCGAGGTGCCGCCACAGGAGGGACCAGCACGCATCCAAAGAGTCCGCGCGGAGTTCCGAAACCTCTGGTTTGTGTATCCCGTGCCCTTGCGGAGAAGGGGCGCATACCTACATACCTATACGACCACCCTTCGGGTGATAAGGAGGTTCGAGGGGGAAGGGACCAACGTCTCACTCGATCGGTCTCATTATCGATCCTTCTATCGATCTCACTATCGGTATCGCTCGATCGACCACACTCGATCGATCGCACAATCGATATCAGTCGATCTATTTCAGTCGATCGATCTCACAATCGACATGACTATCGATATCACAATCGATATCACTATCGATCTCACTATCGATCTCGCAATATATCTTACATTCGGTCTCACTATCGTTATCATTATCGGAATCGCACTCGATGTCACAGTACATGTCATCATCATCGACATCATCATCATCATCTTCAACACCACCATCATCATCATCATTATCATCATCGGGACACCATCATCATCACCTCATTACCACCATTATCAACACCACCATCATCACCATCATTATCATAATCGGAGCACTAGCATCGTCATCACCATCATCAACATCATCATCATCGGAACACCATCATCATCATCATCGGAACACCACCATGCTCATCATCACCTCATCATCATCATGAACAACATCGCCAACATCATCACCATAATCATCATCGTCATCATCATCATCATCGGGACACCACCATTATCATCAGCAACATCAGCATCACCAACATCATTATCATCGGGACACCATCATCATCCTTACCAACATCATCACCACCATCCTGAACGGGACACCATCATCATCAACATCAGCATCATCATCGGGTCACCATCATCAAAATCATCATCACCTCATCATCAGCACCATCATACTCGAACACCATCATCGTCATCATCATCAGCAAGATCATCGCCATCATCGGGACACCATCACCATCATCACCATGATCATCATCAACAAAAGTATCATCAACCTCACCATGGTCACTGGGACACCATCATCATCACCTTCATCATCATCCTCATCTTAGCATCATCAACATCATCAAAATCATCGACATCATCATCATCTGGACACCCTCATCAGCATCAGCAATATCAGCATCATCAACATCATCATCGGGCCACCATCATCATCACCACCATTGCCATCATCATCATCACCATCATCACCATCGGGATACCATCATCGTCACCATCATCATCATCATCATCAACATCATCATCATCTGGGCACCCTCATCATCATCATCGGAAGACCACCATCATCATCATCTAATCATCATCATGAACCGCATCACCATCGGGACGCCATCATCATCATCACCAGCAGCATCATCATCAACATCATCATCGGGACACCCTCATCATCGTCACCATCATCATCATCATCATCATCATCATCGGAACACCATCGTAATCACCAGTATCATCATCAGCATCAGCATCATCACCATCATCGGGCCACCACCATCCAAATCAGCATAATCACCCCATCTCTTCCTCATCATCAGCATCATCATCATCGGAACACCATCATCGTCATCATCATCATTAAAATCATCATCACCGGGACACCATCATCATCACAATCAGCATCCTCAACAACATCATCATCAACCTCATCATCATCATCGGGACACCACTATCATCATCATCTTGATCATCATCATCATCATCATCTCATCATCGCATCATCATCAACATCATCAAGATCATCAACAACATCGTCATCATCATCGGGACCATCATCATCGTCAACAACAACATCAGCATCATCAACATCATCATCATCATCATCATCATCATCATCATCATCGGGACACCATCATCATCACCACCATGGCCACCATCATCATCATCATCAGCAGCATCATCATCATCATCATCATCATCATCGTCATCATCATCATCAGGACACCGACGGGACACTGGCGGGACACCGGCGGGACACTGCGCGCCACCAGCTGCCGGAAGGGAGACTTTTGGTCCGGCCGCGTCTCAGCCAGAGGCGGGACATTTCTCGCCCGCCCACGCAGCTTCGCCTCGCCCCTCGCCCACACGCACGAACACGAAACCGAAACCGAATTCCCGGTAGGGGGCCTCTCCGTTCCACTTCGACCTCAGCCCCTCATCTCCGACATACATACATACATGCATGCGTACATTCGTAAGCACATGCATACATACATACATACATGCATACACCTACAAACATCCATACATACGTACATTCGTACATACGTACATACGTACATACGTACATACGTACATACGTACATGCATACATACATACATACATACATACATACATACATACATACACATGCTAACTTACTTACATACTTGTTTATTCATTGACGGGGCGGCGGCGGGTGCGCCGCCACCATGTCGTGCCCTCGAATACGGTGGGGGGCATTGGATAAGGAGCCATTGCATAAGGAAGCCAAGGTCTGGAAGCCGGCGGAACTCCAATCGTGGTTCTGGCAGTGGACATCACTGCCGCTGTCGTCAGATAAGGAATCCCCCAGGATCTGACGCCTCCTGGGCACGTTCCTCAACCAACGCCCCCAGGGTACAGTCGGACCCAGGCCAGAAGACCATCCCTCAAGAACATGATACCCTCCGTCGGCCAGAAGAAAAAAGAGCACCTCAGGGTAGCCTCCCCCAGGATGCACAAGAACCTCCAACAAACACGAAGCACACTAGGGTGCCCTCCCCTAACCGAATCCGATCTTATACCCCGGTCCTGCTGGAGCAGGTTCCCAGACATGCGACGTCGTGTTTTTTTTGTTTTTTTTATATGCGGCCCCCGAAGTCCTGACCCCTTCTTCGGGACAGATTTTCCATCCTGAACCGTTTCTTGACGGTCCCGAGTCGCGGTAAGGGCCCCCGGAGGCCAAACACAACGAACAGACCTCCCGTCGTGTGTTTCCCCATCTACTAAGATGGGGTTATTGTTATTTCTTGGACGCCGCCGACTCCAGAGAACAAGAACACACCCAGAACACAGACTTATACATGCACAGATTTACTCATACTCAGCCTTACTCATACCCAGACGTACTGATACACATACTTACTCATACTCAGACTTACTCATACCCAGACTTACTCATACACAGACTTACTCATTCTCAGACATACTCATACTCAGACCTACTCATTCTCAGACTTACTCATACACAGACGTACACATTCACAGACTTACTCATGCACAGACTTACTCATACTCAGACTTACTCATACCCAGACGTACTCGCATACAGACTTACTCATACTCAGACCTACACATACTCAGACCTTCTCATAGTCTGAGTTACTCAGCACACGGCAGATTGTGAGGATGTCTCAGGCGGGGCGCTGGCTTCAGCACCCCTTTGGGGAGCCGCCGGGGGTGCTATCACGGGCCCGTTCGCGGCCAATGTGTGGGGATGTCTCAAGCGGTTTGCTCGTTTTCATGGCCAACATCCTTTGCTTTCAGAACAGATTGTGAGGATGTCTTAGGCGGAGCGCTGGTTTCAGCCCCCCTAAGGGGAGCCGCCAGGGGTGTTCTAACGGGCCCGTTCGCGGCCAGTTTGTGGGGATGTCTCGAGCGGTTTGCTAGTTTCTATGCCCAACATCCTTTGCTTTCAGAGCAGATTGTGAGGATGTCTCAGGCGGGGCGCTGGTTTCAACACCTCTAAAGGGAGCCGCCAAGGGTGTTCTCACGGGCCCGTTCGCGGCCAGTTTGTGGGGATGTCTCAAGCGGTTTGCTCGTTTCTATGCCCAACATCCTTTGCTTTCAGAGCAGATTGTGAGGATGTCTCAGGCGGGGCGCTAGTTCCAGCACCCCTAAGGGGAGCCGCCAGGGAAGGGGAGCCGCCAGGGGTGTTCTCACAGGCCCGTTCGCGGTGAATGTGTGGAAATGTCTCAAGCGGTTTGCTCGTTTTCATGGCCAACATCCTTTGCTTTCAGAACAGATTGTGAGGATGTCTTAGGCGGAGCGCTGGTTTCAGCCCCCCTAAGGGGAGCCGCCAGGGGTGTTCTAACGGGCCCGTTCGCGGCCAGTTTGTGGGGATGTCTCAAGCGGTTTGCTAGTTTCTATGCCCAACATCCTTTGCTTTCAGAGCAGAGTGTGAGGATGTCTCAGGCGGGGCGCTGGTTTCAGCACCTCTAAAGGGAGCCGCCAAGGGTGTTCTCACGGGCCCGTTCGCGGCCAGTTTGTGTGGATGTCTCAAGCGGTTTGCTCGTTTTCATACCCAACATCCTTTGCTTTCAGAGCAGATCGTGACTGGTTTCAGCACCTCTCAGGGGAGCCGCCAGGGGGTAGGACGCTCATGAACAGACGCTCAGTATGACATGACATAAATCATGAGATGCACATATGGGGAGCTCCACGCAGTGAGTGACTTTTGTCACGACGCGAGGGGGGGCTCTTTCCTCCTCCGAGCGCTGCCCCCACGAATTGCCTCCGAGCGTTGCCGCCCAAGCATTGCCCCCAAGCCGGGCCCCCAAGTCGAAGCAGCGCCCCAGAGTACTGCCCCCAAGTATCGCCCCAGGAGGAGGAGGAGGAGGAGGAGGAGGCATAAGAGGAGGAGGAGGAGGAGGAGGAGAAGGAGGAGGAGGAGGAGGAGGAGGAGGAGGAGTGCATCGCCCCCCCACCCCCCAGCGTGCTACCCCCAAGCATCGCCCCTAGAGACCAAGCCCTCCGCCCAGCCACGCGCGCGCGCCGGGCCTGCCCTCGCTCGGACGCCCATCTCCCGTGCACTTTTCGGTTCCGTGCGTGCTGTTTGTTGGGGATGCTCCTCGATGGTCCTCGCCGAGAAGAACTGCACACGCCCGAGCGATGCCAAGAGGGGAGAAGTGAGAGACCGCTCGGCCCCCCCGCAAGGAAGCAACCGATGACACGGACAGGAAAAATCTCAGAGGTCCGCGCGGATTTCTCGAATCGGCGTCGGACCCCCCTCCTTGGCGCACGGAGCGCGCCAGCGGCGGCGCCAGAGGCGCCGCCAGGGGGCTCCAGCGCCGATCCGAGGGATCCGCGCGGCCCTCCGAGTCTTTGTGCTCATGTCATTGTTCGCCCCCCTACCTTTAAGTCGGGCCTGTCCCCCTACAGGGAATTTTCGACGAAAAATAAAAAAATAGCCCCAAAATAATTAGAACAATTTAAAAAAAAAGTCTGGGGACTTTGTTTTGAATATTTGTTGATCCTTTTGGGGTATGTGTGGGGTATTTTTAATTTTTCGTCGAAAATCCGCCTGTGGGGGGGCACGCCCGACATACCCCCACCTCGCTCTCAGTTTCTCCGTCGACGTCCTTCCGGAGCGCGTCGCCCGCGCGCACGCCGTCCGTGGCGCCGGTGAGCTTCCGCTGCCGCATCGCCAGGCGCTCGCGGATGCCGGCGCCCACGGTGCTGCGCAGCTTCGCCCGGGAGCTGCCGTCGAGGCTCGGGGCCGACCAGGGGCTCTCCGAGCAGCCCTCCGCCACGCCCTGGGGCCCCGCGCCGATCCCCCCGGAAAGAACATCCGTGCGGAGCTCCGGACATGTGTGCTTGCGATGGTTCCTTGTTTTGACCGAGGGAGAAGAGGGGGCGGACCGCAAGCCACAAGAGCAGGCTTCAAAAAGCAAGTGCCGCCACGCACCCAAAGCCGAGCTCCCAGAGCACGTGGGCACAGACAAGGCGACACCAAGGGCTACCCGTGACAGTCATTACCTGGGCATTCAGGTGCAGAGGAAGCAGGCTGATGTGTGCAGCACCGCACTTGGAAGTGCTTGTGACGATTTCTGTCCCCTTACCTTGGCATCATTCGGACGTGCGCACTTTTTCTCGGCGAGGGACATCGATGGGCGTCAAGGATCCTCGAGCCAAAAAAAAACACGCACAGACGTCAGCATCAGAGTGAGGGGGCCGAAAGGTCTTGCACCATCCCTGGGTGCGTTGGTGAAGAGGGGTTCCGCGGCCCGGATTATGTTAGCTGTTGCTCTTGTGGTTGAAAACTCTCACCACTTCTGGGAAATGCTTATTGTGAATCCCCCCTTCTGGTGCACACTGCATGCTGTCGATTGAAGTGCCCCTTCCTGACGTTCGCACCGAATTTTGACAGAAGAGCATATTGGGCCGCCACAGTGTCTCCAACAACAGCGGTTCCCGCCTTATGCTTTCTCATCGTCTATCAAAGTACCGCGCTCTCGCTCGGGACCTTGCAATTTGCCCATGCCTCGCGCTCTCGTGCGATACTTCCTGAAGATTTATGCGCGAATCGCCCTCTCGGCGCTCTGGAATCGAGCCATCGCTCGACCTCATCTTCTACTCAGGAACTGCGCTCTCGCCTGAGACTTCCTTGCCATCCCCTCTTGCTTATGCCTTTCGGTTTCCATCTTCTGCCTCCTTCCGTCTGGCCCCTTTCCCTCCTCCTTCCCATCCTCCACGCCCTTCCCTCGACCTATCCCTTTTCGATTCCTTCTGTGATTCTTGTTTGTTCAGGGCTGCGCAAACTTCACGTGGCAGGAGAGGAAGAGATCCCACCCAAGGAGATACGACCGACAGCGGGTATCAAAGGTTCGGGAGATACATGTTGAATGACACGCGAGCGTACGAGAGCTAGCAGTAGTCAAATGACTTTTGTGGCTGAGTTCTCACACGTGAAGGATGATAATTATTGATCCCCCCTCCCGTAACATCATGGAGTGGGCGTGTCCTCGGGTCCTTGCCTAACCCTTGGAGCCTCAGCCTTCACTCCTGAGGAGTCTTTAAGGATCCCGGACTCCAAATTCCGAAATTTGGCAGGACTTGCCGCGGTTCTCCTGGGCTCCCCCGCGGCTTCCCCCATCAAACGTTGAGGCCCAAGAGGACCCCAAGACGGTTCAAGAGGGCCCCACCAGGCCCCCAGGACTGTCCAAGAGGGCCCCGAGACGCCCAAAGATCGGCACAAGACGCCCAAGATTGCCCAAGAGGCCTCCAAGAGGCCTCCCAAGAGGGCCTCAAGAGGAACACATTAATTTATTCGCCGTTGGTTTTTGAAGGATTTTGGCGTTCTCGTCTTTTCGGCTTCCCGACGCTCCAAGACGGCCCAATATGACCCCAAGACCATCCCAAAACGGCCCAAGAGGCCTCCAAGAGGGCCCCAAGACAGCCTCTGAGCGCTCCAAGATGGCCCAACCGACGCCCAAGATGGCCCAATAGGGCCCCAAGACGGCCTCAAATGAGACAAGAGAGGGAACACGAATCGAAAATCCAAGCCGTCCGCCACAAGAGGCCCCCGGGAGGCCCCAAGAGGCCCCAGGAGGCCCTAAGAGGCCCCTAAGAGGCCCCCGAGAGACCCCAAGAGGTCCCCCAAGAGGACCAAAAGAGGCCCCAAGAAGCCCCCAAACGGCCGCCAAGACGAGACCCAGTCTGAAATCTGACGCGAGCCCCCTCTGCAGACATCCCACGAAAGCAGGATCGTCGAGATCCAGGGCGTTCTCGTCAAGAAGGGGCGGCCAGCCCGAGATCCTGCATGCTTCGGGCCGGGCGAAAGAGGGGGATAGCAAAGGGGGGGGGGGGTGAGAATCAGCTCACGTAGCTGATTTTCCCGGCGCCTCCCGGCGCCAGAGGCGGCCATGTATCAAGGAATGGGCCCCTCGCTGGGGCCGAAACCAGCTACACGCAGCAGATTCCGTAACCCCCCCTATCCCCTATCCCCCCCTTTCGTCCGGCCCGGATGCTCGAGCCTTGCGCTTCCCAGGTCCTTCCCGAGCGCGCCCGCCGCGCCCACGCCGCCCGGGCTGCTGCTGCGGGTGCCGCCAGAAGTGGCCCTGGCCCAGGGCGTCCCCAGCTCTTCGCGCCATTCCGGAAGCCCCTCGGGCCCCGGAGGGGCCTCGAGAGGGGCCCCCGTTGCTCGCTGAAGAAGAAGAAGAAGAAAGAGAATCCGCCGACCCCTTGTGGGTCTCTAGGCGTGTGAGATAGTTCCCCCCCCTCACCCCCCCCCCCAGGGGCCCCAAACCGGCGATTTGACCCCCCCCCCCCGGGCCGCAGACGAGCGCACCACGGGGCTCTTTGGTGCCCACAAGGGGATCAAAACGAGCCACGAAGGCCCCGAGAGGCCCCAAGACGGCCCCAAGAGGGCCTGAAGACGGGCCAAGGAAGCCTTAAGGAGCCTCGAAGACGGCTCACGAGGGTCCCGAGACGCCAAACGAACGCCCCAAGACGCCCAAGATGCGCCCCAGACGGCCCAAGAGGCCGCCAAGACGCCACAAGAGGCCTCCAAAAGCCTCCCAAAAGGCCGCCGAGAGGCCAAAATCATTCATTTTCCCTTGGTTTTCAAAGGATTTTGGCCTTCTCGCCCTTTCGGTACTCCGACGCTCCACGACGGCCCAAGAGGCCCCCAATACCGCCCCAAGACGGCCCAAGAAGCCCCCAGGACGGCCCCAAGACGGCCCAAGAGGCCCCGAAGACGGCCCAAGAGCCGCCGAAGACGGCCCAAGAGGTTCCCAATACGGGCCCCAGAGGTGCCCAAGAGGGGGACCGCGAAGTGAGAATTCGAGTCTTCCGCTTCAGGAGGCCTTCAGGAGGCCCCAAGAGGCCCCAAAGAGGCACCAAAGGGCCCCCAAGAGCCCCCTACGACGCCCCAGGAGGCCCCCGGGCGGCCCAAATGAGGCCCCAAGATGCCCCCAAACGGCCCCAAAAGCCCCCAAAACTGCCTCACAGAAGCCCCCGAAAGGCCAACCGCGAGATCGCAACCAACATCCACGAGGCCTTATACCCACAACGCAGGCACGGTGGCGGGATGTGCCGAAGGCCAGTAGGATATATTTTTTGACCGCGCAACGGCCCCACGTACACGAAGGCCTCCTGCAGTCCAATTGGCTGCGCCCCTGAGTGGACGCCCTCAAAATCCCAACTCACAGCCAGAGGAGAAGGATGTATAAGGTGATGGCCAGGGCCACATACCCGTGCGACAACAAAGCAAACAAAACAGGAAGAGGACAGGAATGCGGAGCAGAGAGAGCGACGAAGCAAGGAAGGCCGAAGGGCCAGGTAGACAGGCAGCAGCTGTTTGGGGAACCTCACCCTGGACTGACTAGGCGGGGATGTATCAAATATAATGGCACTGTGCGGGCAGCACAGCCTGAACCACTCTCGCTCGAGGAGTTGGACAGCAGATTGGCGTCCACGCAACTGAACTTCAAAAACAAGAAGACGATCATGCGCCACTCGATAGCATTTCAAAAAGAGGAGGGGGAGGAGGGCCGCCCCCGAAAGGAGGACAGGAAAGAGAGAAAGAGAGAGAGAGAGAGAGAGAGGGCGAGACCCAGACCTCCAGAAAAGGTCGAGGAAGAAAAAAGGGGAGGGGGAAGAATGGCAGGAGAAGGGGAAGGAGGAAAAGGACGAGAAGCAAGACGGGGAGGAGGATGACGAGGACGAGGAGGAGGAAAAACCGGAGGAGAAGAAGGAGGGGGGGAGGAGGAAAAGTGCGGGAGGAAACCGCGGCTCCGACCCCGCCAGCGGCGCGCGGCCGCAGCCCCAGAGGAAAGGGGGAACCCGCAGGGGTGCCCGGAACCCATCGGTTCTACGCCGAACTGCCCGACCACGGTCCCAAACTAAACTGCTTCTGCGGCGTCCCCCTTCGACCTCGTCGCACCGCCTGCCCGCCATCTCTCGCCGCTCGCCCCCCCAATAGCATCAGTATCATCAGTATCCTCATGGTCAACGAGATGGTAATCATCACTCACAACAGCATCAACATGCTCGTCATGAGAAGCAGCACAGTCGCCATCAGCACAATTACCAGCATAAGCAGCATCATCATCATCAGCAGCATCATCATCAGCATTATCATCATCATCAGCAGCATCATAATCATCAGCATCATCATCCTCATCAACATTATCATCAGCATGACCATCATCGTACTCCGCAACTGCAACATCAGCATCAGCATTGCCATCACCATTACAGATCATCACCAGCACCATCATCATCATAATCCGCCGACCCCTTGTGGGTCTCTAGGCGTGTGAGATTATCCCCCCCATAATCCCCCCCAGGGACCCGAAACCGGGAATTCGACGCCCCCCCCCTCGCCCAGCCCGACCCCGGACCGAACGCGTCACGGGGGAGCGGAGGGCTCCAAAACTTGCCAAGAAGCCACCAAAACGCTCCCCAGACGGTCCCAAGGGGCCACGATTCGCCGAAATATCGCCCTGGACGCCCACGATGGCCTCCAGGCGGCCTCCGAAGCTGCCAAGACGCCCCAAAAGGCTCCAAAATGCGCCCCAAGAGAGTCCCAGGAAACAAAAATCGCCCCATTCCCTTCGAAAAAACAACATGTGTCGCATGTTCGCCTGCTCGGTTTTCACAACGTCCCAGACGGGCAGAGAAACCTTCAATATCGCCCCAAGACGGCCAAAGGGGCCCCCAAGAAGGGTCGAAGAGAAGACCCCAAGACAACCCAAGAGGGCCCCCAGACGGCTCCAAGACGGAGCCCAGAGGGCACCTTTTCGAGCCTTCGGCCCCAAGACGCCCCCAGCCTGCCCCAATAACAACCCAAGAGGCCCTGAGGGCCCCCAAGAGACCCTCAAAGGCCTCCAAGAAGCCCCCAGGAAGCCCCCAAGAGGCCCCAAAACTTGGCCCAAGATGCCTCGAGGCGGCCGGATATGGCCTGCAGACAGGCCAAGATGCCACCAAAAGGCCGCAAAAGAGCACCAACAGATACGATAACAGCAACGAGGCAACAGGAACGATGTCGAGTGCCGTGTCCTGATTCGGACAAGCCTCGTGAAATGCAGTCCTGGAGGCGCAGTAGTTTATATAGGGGTCGGCGGATGTGGCGTAAGCCTATAGAATAAGAAAAAGAATAAGAAGAAAAATAATAACAAGACAAATAATAATAATGATAATAATAATTATAATAATAATAATAATAATAGTAATAATAATACTAAAAATAATAATAATAATATATAAAAATAGTAATAGTAATAATAATAATAATAAACAGAAGAAGAAGAAACATAATAAGAAGAAAAAGAAAAACGCCAGAAGCATAAACTATTGGCCCTCCGCGCCGATTTCTTGGATCCGCGCTGGACCCCCCCCCTGTGCGCGCGGAGCGCGCTAGCTGCGGCGCGGGAGGCGCCGCAAACCCGCGCGGGGCGCCAAAAGTTTACGGTCATGCCGTTTGTGTTGTGGGTCCGCGCCCTTCCGGAGCCCCTCGGGCCCCCCCTGGGCTTTGAGTTAAGTCGGGCCTGTCCCCCTACAGGGGGATTTCCGACGACAAATAAAACATACCTCCAAAATCATCTAAAAATAATGCAAAAATAGTCGGGGATCATTCTTGGAGTAGTTTGCTTGCCTCTGGGGGGTATCTTTGGGCTACTCTGAATGTTTCGTCGAACATCCCCCTGTAGGGGGACACGCCCGCCTTGAGCTTCGAGAGGGGCCCCCGTGGCTCTCTGGAGGCCGCCTGCGCCTCCCCGGGGCACGGCGGGGCCCGCCCTCGGCCGCAGGCTCCACCGCTGGCGAGACCCCGCCGGCGAGGGGGCGCGGCGCCCCGGGCGCTGCCAGGGCCTCCAGCGCGCCGGAGCTGGCCGAGCGGGGTGGGCCCGCCTTGCATTACGTCGGGCCTGTCCCCCTACCGGCCCGGGGGATTCTCGACGAGAAATAAGAACTACCCCAAAAATAACCCAAAAAATACTCCAAAACTTGTCGGGGGACTAGGTTTGGAGTATTGTTTGGCCTTTTTGGTGTATGGTGTGGGTATCTTTAATTCTTCGTCGAAAATCCCCCTGTATAGGGGGACACGCCCGACATAATGCCAGGGCCTCCAGCGCGCCGGAGCTCGCCGAGCGGGGTGGGCCCGCCTGACAGTGGAGGCCAGCCCACAAGAAGCCTGCCACAGGAAGCCCAACCCGGAGCCCAGGGATTTCTGCGCTGCGGGCGCGTCACGCCTTCCATCTCGAAGACATCGAGCCCCAGGAAACCCAGAGCACCCTGGAGGCAGGCAGGGTGCTTCTTGGCATGAGTCTCCACTGTGGCCTTGGAGGCCCCGTCGCAGCTGCGGGCCGACCAGGTGCTCTCCGACAGCGCCGAAGCGCCGGAGCACCTGGCTCTGCCGGGCAGGCCCGTCTGGGAGCTCCTGTCGCAGCTGAGGGCCGACCAGGTGCCCTCCGACAGCTCCGAGGCGCCAGAGAACCTCGTGGGCGGGAGGCATATCCATACAGTCGGGGTGGATTGGAGAGAACGCGCGAGAGACTCTTCCGATGGCCACATTGCCAGTGGAACGCAGAGGGCATGGGTCGCGAAACACAGGATACAAGGGTACCCTTGCTTGGGCAGGGTCAACCTACCAATCAGACTCGACTGTACCCAGACCCCTTCGGGTCATGACGAGACGAGATCACTAAAGGGGCCCTGCGACATACAAATAAATGCACACAAATCCCAGGATTCCCTGTATTTTCCTATATTTTCTGGGTCCTCGTCTTCCCCCACCCCCTTGTCCATAGTTTCCCAGATTTTCCTGGGGATCGACGATGAATTGTGTCTGTGTTCTTTCCCCTCCTGAATCGCGCAGGGAAGCTCTTGCACACCTTCTGCCTCCAGATCGAGGCCCTCGCCCTGGCCCCTGCGGACCGCCAGCAGAACGGCTCGTGGGATGCAAAGCCGGTCACGGGGGGGGGGAGGGTCGACCTCCGGGGGTCCGCGTCATGAGACAATCATCCGCGTCCACACCCAGTCCTGGGGCGCGGACTGCCCCAGGGGCTGAGACCGCCCTGGGCCACTCGGGGACATCTTGAAGCCAGCTGGGACTATCTGGGGGGGGGGGCCTGTCGAGATCCGCCGAGACTACCTGAAGGGCCTGTCTGTGCGCAACCCGAGGCCCGCATGGGCGCATGGGGCGGGAAGCGCACCCACGTGCCCGCCGCCTCGCGGCCCCGACTCCGCGGCCGCGCTATCCCGCGGCCGCAGCACGGCCCTGCGCGGGCGCCCCGCGCGGGGCCGGGCCCTGGGATCGCGCCTCGGTGCCCAGACCGCGGAGGCAGGGGCACGGGTGCGCTCGCCGAGCAGCACGAACGGTACGCCGCCGAGGGGAGCCCATCGCAACGCTCTACTCTCAAAGGGGCACCGAGCCCTCGGACACAAACAAAGGAGCAACACGCTGGCGGGCTACCAGTGGCAGCGTGCCGTCCCATGAGATCCGGCGATCCGAGACAGCTTGCAACATTGTGAACAAATCACGAACGGAGCCCTACACCCGATCTTTCTGCGGCATCTTTTGAGCCGGGCCTGACTATCTATGATGGCCCCGGGGCCCAACTCTGAGCGAAAACGCCCGGTATGGAAACAGAGAGGCGCCCAGATCTCAGGGTTGATACTCCCCAGACATCTAGCTGCTCCAATTTTGCCGCTGCGTGGGCCCCGGAGGCCCTCACCACTTCCCTGGGGCCGGTCCTTCGTCCTGGGTCGTTTTTGGACGCTCCCGAGGCCCAGCGAGGGCCCCCAGAGGCCGAAAACGGCCCAAAACAGCCCGCTACACTCTTTGCTGGAACGTCGGACCGGCCGTGGACAAACCTCCCTTTAGCAAACCACCCTTTAGTGAAAACGGCCTAGGACCGACACCGACGGACCTGGACCCGCAAAGATGACGGCCGCGACGCCCTCCCGCGAACCGAAAACGGCCAGTTCGCTAATCGACGTGTCAGGGTAGGAGGCCTCGCTATCAACCTCCGATCGGATCTCTGCGCCTCTCCCTCCCTAGGGGAACAAAAAGTGGCATAACCATAAAAACTCGGAGGTCCGCGCGGATTTCTCGGATCGGCGCTGCACCCCCCTCCCTGGCGCGCGGAACGCGCCAGGGGCGGCGCCGGAGGCGCCGCCAGGGGGCCCCAGCGCCGACCCGAGAAATCCGCGCGGACCTCCGAGTCGTTATTAGGGGGCAAACAGACGTACCTCGCTTTTGACCACCCTCGCTTCCAAGAGATACCAAGCGATGCCAAACTACGGCCTGTACTGGTCAGGCCGCCTGACGAGGAGGCGCGTGGTGTGACTTGGTTTTGCCTGGAAGCGAAAGCGGGGTAGGTAATTCACGCTCTGAGTTATGTTTATGCCACTTTTGTTCCCCTACTCCCGGGGCCCTTCGCTCGCGGGAACGCGCTGCCCCTCCCTGCCGGCGTCTGGGCGCCGGCGTCGGCGAGCAGCTGCGCGTGCGGCGCGCCGCCCGGCGGGCCCGCGCGGAGCTCCGGGCTCGGCTCGCCCTCCGCGCGCGCGCCCGGGGGCCCAGCTCGAGCGGCGCGAGCAGCGCAGGTGTCGCTATACACCACCTGGGAGACGAGCGCTCCTCCTGCTCCTCCTCCTCCTCCTCCTCCTCCTCCTCCTCCTCCTCCTCCTCCTCCTGCTCCTCCTCCTGCTCCTCCTCCTCCTCCTCCTGCTCCTCCTCCTCCTCCTGCTCCTCCTGCTCCTCCGCCTCCTCCTCCTGCTCCTCCTCCTGCTCCTCCTCCTGCTCCTCCTCCTCCTCCTCCGCCTCCTCCTACTCCTGGGGGGAACGAAAGGGGGGGATAACAAAGGGTAGGGTGGAGAATCAGCTCACGTGGCTGATTTTCCCGGCGCCTCCTGGCGCCGGGAGGCGCCCATGTATGGAAGAGTGGGCCCGGTGGCGGGGCCGAAACCGGCTGCATGCAGCAGATGTCGTACCCCCGCCCCTTCTCCCCTTTCGTTCGGCCCGAAAAAAGAAACGGGTCTCGCTCGAGAAGACATGGTGGCCTGACGGCGCGCAGACCCCCTCGGGCCATAACAAAATCCTGGAGGGAGGTCTTTGCAGCTTTTCAGCCTCAGGTGGCCCTCGGGGGTGTCACAGAATTACGAGGATGGAGAACCGGTCTCGGGGGAATACGTGAAGAAAAAACTTCACGTCGGGGGTCTGGGGCCTACGCGAGCCCCAGCGCGGCACGCTGCACTGGAAACGCGGGCGCCTCCGCGCGCCCATGCCGCGGGCAACCTGCGCGCGACTGCTTGGCCGCACAGTCGATCCCGCCCCCAGACTCCCGACATCGTGCTTGTTTCGTTGCGTCAACCCCCGAGGCCTCGACCCATTCCCCCGGGACCGGTGCTTCATCCCGACTCGTCTTTTTGAAGGGGCCCTGCAACACACAAATAAATACACACAAATAAAAATATTCCCCATAGTTTCCTATATTTTCTGGGTTTCTGTCTTCCCCCCCACTTCCCATGTTTTCGCATATTTTCTGGGGAATCGAGGATTAATTGTGTCTGTGTGTTTCTTTTCCTCCTGACTTTTGACGGCCCCGAGGGCCGGCCAGCGCCTCCCGAGGCCGCAAGCTTGGACGCAAAGCTTCCGGTCGTGACTTTCTGTCGTTGCCCGAAGGGGGGTCTGGGCGTGCGCCCGTCGGCCACCCGGATGGTGCGCGCGGTGGCCTCGTAGATCTGCGGGCCCCCCCTTGCAGGGAGCGGCCAAAGAGGGGGGTGTCCCAAGAGGGGGGGGTGCAAATCATGACCGGCGGCATGTGCGCGGCCCAGGGGGGGGGCCAGGGACGTAAAGAAATAAGAAGGGGCGCCATGAAGTCTGGGGAGATCTCATGGCCCACTCCATGATATCCACCCCCCCCTAGTCATCACCCCCCTCTTTTCCGCCCACGACCTTGGCGCCACCTGGGCGTGTGAGGCCCCGCCGGGGAGATCACGAGGGCTGCCTTGCCCCCGTCGTAACTGAAGGACCACATCCCCCCCAGAAAAAGAATTCCGGGCACCCATGAAGACATCGAAATGGTGTCAAGCGGCTCTCGCCTCCCAGGGCCCGAGACGTGAAAACCCTCCAGCTTCGGCACTTTCTCGGTACTCGAAGCTCTTTCTGGTGGTCGATGCATAACACAAGGGACCGATACCGCTCATTCTGTGTGCTGTGTGTTGGCGCCGGCGTGTGCTTGTCCATCTCGAGATCCCTCAATACGACGCAGGCAGTGTAATGGCCTATCGGTGGCACTGACCAACCCAAACATCCGGCGGCTGCTCCAATTTTGTTGATGCGTGGGCCCCGGAGGTCTGGACCACTTCCCTAGGGCCGGCGTGTCGTCCTGGGTCGTTTTTTGACGCTCCCGGGGCCCGGCGAGGGCCCTCACAGGTCGAACATGACCCCGCACCGCCTGCTTCATGTTTTTGGGAGCGACTTCCGCGTCTGAATGCCCCCCGCCCTCTCCTCCCCCCTCGCGCGGCCGTTCCCTCCTTCCGTCCCCTTCTCTCGCATCCCCGGCCCCCGTTTCGCCTCAGGCGGGTCGGATGGCGCCCGCCTCGCCGCCGACGGAAAAAGTTGTTGGGAACATCGGGTCTCATGGAGGGCTTGCACACGTTGGGCCGACACACTCGGCTACACGCAAGAGTGACCCTGGGCAAGAGTGACCTTTGGTGCGCGGCTTTGTCGGGGCCGCGGGGAGACCAAACCTGGGCCCGCAAGCCGCTGCTACCGCTTCGTTGTCAGCCATCTGAGGACCCATCTGTGCCCGCACCAAAGGTCACTCCGGCGAAAGGTCACTCTTCTAGGGCTCCCAACTTCGCGCTTCGCGCTCCGCGAAGCGCGAAGCGCGAATAACTTCGCGCTCTCGCGCCGCCCCCCCAAAGGGAGAGTAGGAGGACGAGGAGGAGGGGGAGAAGGAACGAGGACCGCGAAGCGCGAAGCGCGAACAACTTCGCGCCCTCGAGGGAGCCCTTGCTCTTACGTGCAGTCGACACACGTCCTGAGGGCCACCGAGATCTCATGGGGGGGGGACTCTCCATGGGGGGGGATCCCATGGGGGGGCAGGAGGGGATCCCCCCCATGGGATCCCCTCCTGCCCCCCATGGCATCCCCAGGGGATCCTATGGGATCCCCCGCCCTGGGATCCTATCCCCCCATGGGATCCCCCCCCATGGAGAGTCTCCCGACATGGGGGGGGGAGGGCCGGCCCGGCGCGGCAGCCGGCCACAGAGGGCCGCCCCGAGGGCCAAGAGAGCGGCGCGAGCGCTCCCGCGGCTCGGCGGCGCGCCGTGGCCACGCGACCCCCCATCCCTCCTCCTTGCCTCTCTTCGCCGCCCGCTCCTCCTCCTCCTCCTCCTCCTCCTCCTCCTCCTCCTCCTCCGCCTCCGCCTCCTCCTCCTCCGCCTCCGCCTCCGCCTCCGCCTCCGCCTCCGGCTCCGCCTCCGCCTCCGCCTCCTCCTCCTCCTCCTCCTCCTCCCCCTCCTCCTGTCTCTACAGCTTCACCCGCATCATAAGAGTGCACGATGAGGGTGCAAAGGCCTCGGAAGGCCATGTTGGCACCCGGCGAGCGGGGCGCGACCGATGAAACCGGCCACGGCCAAGGATGGACGGGAGGGGCAAGAATGCAAGGGCACCCTTTGGGAAGGTCGCCCATCCTTATCATGCGATTTGACTATGTATTATGAAGGGGCACAAGCTCCCCAAACCCCCTCACGGGTAATGAGAACATCATGAAGGGAGGGTTTCCCTGATGTTCGGCCGCTGGAGGCCCCTACCGGACCTCGGGACCGTCAAAAATTGCAGGGTGAAAGAGGGGGTCTGCAACAGGGGGTCTTCAATGGGGGCTGAATGGTCAATGTATCGCTCATGTATGTGATCGGGTAT